CATGGGCGGCGGTAGTCACTTACCATCAGGTGAGCCGCATACTCGGTTGCCCCCTCTCCTATAAAAAAAAAAAACAGTCCCGCTGGGTTTCTTGTTGATTCTTCCTAGGACAGAGGTATTTTCCGAACCAGTGGTAAATAAAAAATGACTTTCAATAAGTATTATGTAATAATCAATATTGAATAAAAATTATTCTATTCTATTCTATTCTATTCTAGACAGTGGGGTTTTGTCGTCACCACTATTTGTGGTACGAGATTATGTAGATGAATTGCATTGATGGGTTATCAGAAAGATGCTACTGCTTATCTCTAGTTTTAGTTCCCTCTGTCGTCTCTTACGGTACATATGGGAAGAGATTGGGAAGTGGATATTCTTACACCGCCACTACACACTGGTTGATAGTAATACTGGATATTTAAAAAAATTCTAATTTTTCACTATTTTAATGGATGAAACTGAAACAGGATTTACCGAAATGAAAAATCTTCTTTTTATTTTTTTTGCCCTGTAATATTTATTGTGCTCTCAGTCATCATGTGTGACGGTGTTAATCCACTTACATCTTATTTCTGCACATTTTGGACACCAAAATAGTTTTTTTTTTAAATAGATTAACGGCGAAAAACGAGCGCATAGTCCAACTGATGGTAATTGGATACTGTGGCCCATACATCTTCATCTATTCTCAATTAGGATTCAATTAGTTTTCACTCTTGAAGACTGAGATGGAATGCCTCGACTCGGGTAAAAAAGTCTCCAAATTTTTGGACTCACCATACGAGACACTGCAGCATTAAGCTGCTATTTACGCTGGTATTCTGTGAGAGTGTGATCCTTCCCCGGTCGAGCCGACCCATTCGTGCTACAAATTTAATATGACTGCAGCATGGCTCTCCCACGTGTTATTTTTACAATAAATAAAACGATAACTCAAATATTATTGGATAAGCAAAATTGGTTAGTGTAGATACATCACTAGCAAAATTGAATAAAACAAAGCATTTAATTTTACAAAAGTAATATGTGTATGACCTAGAACTAATTACAAGTTTTTCTGGTATAAAAACATTCTTTTAGCATTTAAATGATTCAAAATGTTGTTGAAGACTTACGTATTATACTTATAACTTATAACAATTCCGGATCTTTATTTTACTTTTTGTTCTTCTTGATACTTGACAAAGCTGAACTTATGAATTAGTCCAGCTGTTATAAAAGTACAGCTTCAATAACTACAGAGAGAAAGAGGGTAGAGAAGGGATGTGAAAAAATAATTATATTATTCTGTATTAAATCTCATTATTACTTAAAATAATCGGTAGTTAAATCTTTCTTTTTCTTGTTTTCTCTCTTTTAACGTCTTGTTTTTTTTTTTCAAAAAATGAAGTAAGAGTTAGCAGTTTACTAGGTGGCAGGACTCCTCCTCACATATTTCTAGCAGTGGAGTAAAGAGAAGGGTATGAAAAGCCAGTATAATTGCAGGCCAGTGAGGCAAGTGTACATTAGACTTTTTTTTTAACTTTGCATGTTTTTTTGTTGTGCACTTTTATTAAAACAAACAACAACAGACATGAATAGACTTATCGATCTCTTTTTATTTTTATTAAGAATTTCATATCATTGGCCTTTAAAAAAATGTTAAAAAAGGAAATAAGCGCCAAATTTTTTCCGCCGTTTTTTTTTGTCCGGACAGAGGAACCTCGTTTTGAAACGGTAGTAGATTAAAAACATGTTTTAAATGATAAGTCGAAAGATAACAAGTTTTCATTTAATTAAATTTTGTAACTGAGCGATTAAAATGCAGAATTTTATTAACATATCTAGCTACTAAGTAACAGCAAATATGTATTTTATGAACAACACACAATTGCGGTTATATAAAATTTTTATTATTACGTTCGCTATGGCTTGAGTTACAAATTAAAAAAATATATAGAACGACAATTGAAAGAAATAAATACAATTACACGTGGTATAGCCATGATGCAGCTATATAGTAGTATAGCTGTAGCACGAATGGGTCGGCTCGACCGGGGCAGGACGACGCTCTCACAGAATACCAGCATCAAATAGCAGCTTAACACTGCTGTGTTTCGTATGGTGAGTAAAGAGAAGCGGAGACCCTTTTTACTGGAAACGAGGCATTCCATCTTATACGTCACGGGTGGCAACGCATCTGCATTTTGATTCACAAACGAGGATAAATGTAGATGTCTATGGGCATAAAAATACTTCAAGTACTGGTTTTTTATTCGCTTTCAGAACCTCTGCTTTAATTTCATCTTCGCCCGGGGCCTTACCGTTCTTAAGATGTTGGAGAGCCATTCTAATCTCGCTCAAAGTGACGTCCGGGATACCATCGGAATATTATAGGACAAGACTTGCTCTTAGATCATTACTCACACTTGTGTGTGGTTCTAACGATGACGTAGCCCGTAGAACATTTGAATCTTACTCAAAATTTCAGGTGTCCCGGAAATGATGCTAGATTCATCTAAAATGGTTATTTATTTATTTTAACATGCAAATAACCCCATAATAGAATTTCTATTAAGAGGTTATTATATGCTATTAAGGGGTTATAGAACGTAAGATATAATAATATCCCCGAATCTCTTCACCGCTGCATTAGAAGACGTTTTCAAGCTACTGGACTGGAAACAATACGGTACTAACATCACTCACCTTCGATTTGTTTACGTATAGTCCTTATGGCAAAATCACTGGAGGACTTAAGCACTATGCGCAGTGACCTCTATAGTGTCTCCCAATGGATAGTCTTAAAATGAACATGGACAACAAAGTTCATGCGTAACGTTCATGTCATACCTATGCCGGTAGGTGTTGGGAGCACTACGCTCGAAGTAGTTGACGAATATGTTTAGCTGTGACAAATAGTCCGACTAGGTAAGTCCAACTATGACCGAGTTCAATCGACGAAATCAACTCCGCTTGGCAGGTTTGGGGAGATTACGACACATCTTCTCGTAAGGTATAACTCAAAACTTCAAAACAAAACTGTACAACGATAACCTTTGGATCTGAAACGTGTTGCTTTACTGCTGGCCATATGACGAAGCACAAATTCGCTCAGCGAGCTATGGAAAGAGCTGTGCTCAGGTTTTCTGTGCATGATAGACTTAAAAATGAGGATACCCGCAGTAGAACCAGAGTAACCGACAAAGTCTATTGTTATTGTGAATCGCTTATTAATCAAGAAATTACAACATTACGGTATGAAAAATATTGCACTTCGAATTATTATTTCATATTTAAGTAACAGAACTCAAAAAGTCGTTATCAATGGTAAGGGTTTCACCGGATCGGTAGTATAAATGGGTGTTTCTCAGGGCTCAATTAATTCCTGTTCTTAATCTATAATATTGACTTACCTTATCTTGCAAGGCACAATCACCATATAGTATTATTTGGTATGATACCTCTTTAACTTTTAAACTCAAACGGCAGTCATACCAACAATTTGGTTTTAAACGGCAAGAAAATAAAATGTATTAAATTTAAAACACCTAATGATAAACATTCCAATATTAAAGTGCTAGAAAATGGAAAGGAGTTGAGTCTTGTTGATAACATTGTTTTTCTTGTAATTACTATTGACATGAAGCTTCAATGGGGCCCCCATATCTTTACACATTCACTGTCTGGTTTTCAGATGCAATAGTAAGACAATAGCAATGACCTATATGCAGTGCACGGGTCAGCGAAAGGGTTATTAGCACAAGCAGACTTAGTTCTGCAGCATATGCTGTAAGAAAGATGAGAAGTCTCACAATTGATAAAACAGCTAGATTAATTTTTTGTAGTTACTTTTATAGCGTAACGTGTAACATCTTATGGAATTTTGCTATCGAGTTAAGCGAATGACGAAACTATATTTGTTTTTCAAAAGATGGCCGTTAGGTGTTCCAGTTGTTTACACCCTTTTCTTTGAAAAAAAAAAAAACAGCGGCAACGAAATATAGCTTTTGTAATAATAGGTCTCTGTATTACAGGACGTCTATGTATAGTAGTAGTGGATAGTAGTCTATGTATTATGTTTTACATAATGTATTATAGGATTTATTCAAGAAGGGCATCAATAAACTGCCACTGGGTTGGCAAAGATTACTTTGATCAATATAAATAAAAAATATCGAAAAAAATTACGTTACTCACTTGCCTGCTGCAGGGAAATCTAAGGTGTTCAGCGATCGGGGCAATATCGAAGCTGTCTCTACACACACGCCTGCCGTTCAGTATGAGAATGTATGTCTTGCTGGACGCACGTTTTGAGAATGGCGCCAGTTATATATCAATTAAAATCAATTTGAAATCCAAAACCAGTTATAATCAATGAATCGGTATGTATAGCCTTGGTTCTTTTTTATATAAAATAAGGGTGACATATGAGCACAGTCCACCTGATGGTAAGTGGAAACTTTGACCCATAGACATCCACATTTATCAATAAAACAACTAATTAATAATTACAACCATAATATAGTGCTTATAAGCTACAGCATAGCTCTGCCACGCTATTTTAGGCTATCAAAGACAATTAAATGTCACTAACAGACATCACAATTAATTGCCTTGCTTGTGTGTAGAGACAGCTCCGACATTACCTCGATCGCTGTTCACCCTAGATTGCCCCTGCGGCAAGCAAGTGAGTAGCCGCCATTACTAATATAAATATGTAATAATCTTTGTTGCAAATCTAACTTTATAAAAACTATGAGATAACAGAATGACATCTAAAAACCTATCGAAATGATAGCATTAGAAATTATATTTTAAACTGCAGAAAAAGTGTAAGTAAAAAAAGACTGCAGAAACTGTGAGTCCATTTTTTATTAAAAAAAAACTAAATAAAAATAAAAATTAAATTTACTTTTATTATTGAAACTAGCCATCAATTTCAAACAAAATAAAATTTGCATATTATTATTTTTCCTCTGCTAAAAATGCCATTGTAATATATTTATAATGTAATATATTTATTTTTCTATCCTCTTGGCGGTATTTTCTTGTGATTGTTTTTTCTTTTGTATTAGAAAATGATGTACGGATTTAGCATATAAATGCATATATTCGGGCCATTTAATATCGGTAAAGTTGAAAGGAAATATATGTTGATCCTGCTCCGATATTTGTGAATAGAGCTCTTGTGACTTCCGTGTTTTAAAAAGCCAGGAGTTAAGAGTAAAATAAGCTACTTTATCCCTCATTGGAATAAACTTTTTTTGGAGCTCCACAAACCTGAAAAGTGGACCATTTATACAATACAATAACTTTATTTCAGGCATCAAGGACTTAAAAATTAAGAACATTGGCCCATAGCAATATATACCTTAACCTAAAAATATATATACATACACACATATATATATATATATATATATATATATATATATATATATATATATATATATTGGCAGAACCTTAGGGATGGAATGGTAAGTGCAGCGGAAGAAGTGTGTGGAACAATAAAAAGAGGCAGTAGTAAAAGAAGAGATGCATGGTGGAATGATGAAGTGAAAGAAGCTGTAAAGAAGAGGAAGAAAACATGGTTAGACTACTTGGCCTCTAGTAATGATAAGGATATGAGAGAGAAGATGAAAAAAAGATATAGGCTGCAGAAAGTTCACACGAAAGCACTGATTGAGGAAGTGCGTGAAAGGTGTAAAATGGATGCGGACGAAAGGTTGTCGCACAACTTTAAGGAGAACTCCAAACTCATCTGGAAAGAGGTTGGAAGGACCCGAAGTGGTGCGACGGCCTTAAGAATGAACAAAGTGCTTTTGAGAACTAATGACGTCCTCTCAGAAAAATCGGACGTCATGCAGCGATGGAGCGAATTTTATAGAGAAATGTATGCGTGTGATGATCTTAGTGAGGGATCCGGGGATGACGCCGTGACTGGTACACCAGACCCGGACCTCGATGACACTGAGGTCATCAGTATGAAAGAGATTGAACGTGCGATTCGAAGTTTGAAATGTGGTAAGGCTGCGGGACTAGACAGAGTTACTGCTGAAATGGTCAAGTATGGTGGGCCTCGCGTCTGGGACAGCTTTCATTTGCTGTGCAATTTGTGCTGGCGGACGGGGGATGTCCCGGATGATTGGCGATCCGCAGTCATTGTGCCTTTATATAAAGGTAAAGGTTCACATTTTGACTGCGGGTGCTATCGGGCGATCAGCTTGACCAGTTTAGCAAGTAAAGTTTACTCGAAGGTTTTGACACGTAGGATGCAAGAGAAATCGGAAAGATTTCTATGGGAGGCACAATGCGGATTTAGACCTGGAAGAGGATGCACGGATCAAATGTTTTCTCTCCGCATGATCACGGAAAAGCTTCTGGCTGCTAACCAGAAGATTTTTTGTGCTTTTGTGGATCTTGAGAAAGCATTTGATAAGGTTGTAAGGAAGAAAATGTGGGAACTGTTGCCGGGGTATGGTGTGGATGGTCGATTGCTAAGGGCTGTGCAGTCTCTTTACTGTGACTGTAAAGCCTGTGTGCGGGTAGGGCATGACCTGTCACCCATGTTTAACGTCCAAACGGGCGTAAAGCAGGGTTGTGTCATGTCTTCCTGGCTGTTCATACTGTATCTCGACAGCTGTTTACAGAAGCTGAAAGATAGCTGTTTGGGTGTGAAATTGGGTGATATAAAAGTAAATTGTCTGCTGTATGCTGATGATGCAGTGCTTATTGCACCATCAGAGGCAGAACTGCAGGCATTAGTCACGTGTATGAAAGAGGAATGTGAAATTAAAGGTCTCCGTTTGAATGCTAATAAAACTAAGGTTCTGGTATTTGAAAGGGACGAAGAGAGAACGAAGTGTGAAATATGGGTAAATCAGGAATGTCTAGAAGAGGTAAATGAAATTATATACTTGGTGAGTGCTTTTAGCCGGGATGGAAGATGTGATTTAGATGTGGACAGGCGTGTCGCTGCCGGGAACAAAGTCAATGGTGCCCTGACTGCGTTAGTCAAAAGGCAAGGCGTAGCGAAGAGTGCACGCCTTGCAATACATAACGCAGTGTTGGTACCGACTTTGTTATATGGCAGTGAAACCTGGGTATGCCAGAAGAAGCATAAAAGTAAGTTGAATGCAGTGGAGATGCGATCTCTTCGTACAATGTGCGGCGTTACCTTGGCCGACCGAAATCGAAACGAAGAGATTCGCAATATGGCAGGTTTGAAAGATGACCTTATCACAAAAATTGATAAGGGCGTGCTTCGGTGGTTTGGGCACGTTGAGCGAATGAGTGAAGACCAAATGGTGAAGAAAATATATAGCGCGAAAGTTAATATTACAAGGTGTCGTGGTAGACCGAGACTAACTTTCGAAGACCATGTGAGCAAATTGCTCGAAGAGGGTAGGGTCAAGAGTACTCGGATACCTAGACGTGCATGCATGAAGAAGATAATGAATCTGAAAGAAGCGAAAGAGGTTTGTAAGGATCGTGACACTTGGCGATCAGTTCTCTCTGGCTACCCCGTCAGGGATTGTGCGTGAAGATAAGTAAAAATATATATATAAGATATAGACATAACTTAACACTATTTAGGGAACTTTTTTCTTTGGCGCTTCCCTGTATCGGCGAAACACTACCCCAGAGGGCCAGAAATCGGGAGCGAGGAATGTCTCTTTATGTTTTACAGGAACCTGGAGTACGTAGGATTTGAAGTTCGTTGACCTATTAGACTTATTTATAATTTCAAATAAATAGAAACCCTTTCTGATCTATATATTTCATACATGATAAATCCGTAGAGTTGGAACGACGTCCAACTAAAAATAAATTAATCAGATTTAAGCAGATTTAAATTGGCAATAACGTAGTCACTTAGGAGCGGGGCACTGTCCTTAAATCAATAATATGGAGATGGCGCCGGTAGTTGCAATTTTAATTGCTGATTGACCTCGTTATTATTTGGATGCAAACGTTTCTATTTGGTTAAAATTAAAAATTGCTTGCTCGATTACTCGGTGCTAGGCAATGTGCAGCCTGTGCCTAAAAAAGGTAGCCGTACCGACCCTGCCAACTATCGGCCAATTTCAATTACCTACATACTCTGCAAGACTATGGAGCGTATATTGAACGCCCACATCATGGCATACCTAGAGCAAAAGGATCTCCTCAGTGATCGCCAGTACGGGTTTCGCCGAAATCGATCAACTGGGGACCTTATAGCGTATGCCATTTACATATGGGGCGAAGCCCTAGAGAACAGTGGTGAAGCACTTGCTGTTTCCCTCGATGTTTCGAAGGCTTTTGACAGGGTTTGGCACGCTAGTCTATTGGGCAAGCTTTCAGCATACGGCTTATCCCCTGGCATAATTGTCTGGGTGAAGGACTTTCTGAGTGAACGGTCTCTTCAGGTCGTCGTTGATGGCTGCTCATCCGATACTGTGGCGACTAACGCCGGTGTTCCTCAGGGTTCCGTTCTCTCCGCAGCTCTCTTCCTGCTGCATATAAATGATCTGCTCATTTCCGGTGTCTATGGGTATGCAGACGACAGCACAGTTGTGGAGAGATACCAACCAAGCGCCCGGGCCAGTCAGAAAGAGAGGCTATGGTTGAGCGTTTGAGTCTCACACAACAGGCAGTCTTCGAATGGGGCGATGCCAATCTCGTGAAATTTAACGCCTCCAAAACACAAGACTGTCTTTTTACCGCTAAAAGAAGCCCGCTCACTTTGGCTCCTACTTTCCGGAATGTATCGTTGGAGTACACTGACCGCCTTCAGTTGTTACTGATTGAATTTTCTCCGAACCTAAACTATGGGTAGTTCATTGAGTCCAGAGCCAAAGCAGCCGCAAGGAAACTTGGTGTCCTTGCAAGGGTGCGGCGGTTCTTACCTTATATAAAGCGCAAGTCCGGTCGTGCATGGAGTACTGTTGTCATATATGGGCTGGTGCTGCAAAATGCCACCTGGCAGCATTGGACTCAGTAGAGAGACGTGCTAAGAGGCTCATTGGTGACCTTGATTTGGTTGAAACCAATCTTGTTAGCCTCGAGCACAGGCACAGAGTAGCCAGTCTCTCGGTATTCTATAGGTATATATTAATTCCTCCCTCTCCTTTCCACCATCGGAAAACCAGACGGTCGGCGGGTCTTCATCCCTTTGTTGTCGATATTTCACGCATTAGAACCAAACAGTTTGCTTCGTCTTTTGTAATGCGTACAGCAAAGGAGTGGAATAATTTGCCGGCGTCTATCTTTCCGTCCGAATACAATCTAGGCGTCTTCAAGGCAAGAGTGAATAGGCTTTTGTTACGATAAGACAGTGCAATTTACCATCTAAGGCTGCATTACCATTTTCCACCAGGTGGGATTGTGGTCAAGCACTGGTTTATAAAAAGTGCGTAAATGATGACGGATTTTTTCGCTTTATCGTTTTGCCCGTTATTATCTAGAGCGTTAAAATGAGAAATTGTACATTAGTATACATCTTTGAATTCCAAAATATTCATTTTATTTTATATCATAGGTGCATAAGTTATATTCATAATTTTTAGAGTTCGTTGACTATTTAAAATACCTTGGCTTGCTTCCTTTTAGAAAAAGTGAGAGGTCTATGACATAGGCAGGGACTACTTGTGTAAAAAACGTCAGTATATCACTTGCTAATTGCGTTTTTGCAATAAATACCTTACGAAAGTAGAAACAGTCTGAAAAAAAAGCAAATATATTCATTAAAATTATAAATGCAAATAACATTAGTTAATAACTATTGATAGTAAAAAAATCTTCCACACGATAAATAGCCTAAGTTCGTTTTCTTATATACTTATTGGTAGGTAGTGATGAAGGCCTAGACGGTAAAAAGTTACGGTAGTACATCAGCCGATTTTAGGGGTCATTAAGATTAACTAGTTAGATAAAAACATACATATGAGACAAAAAAGAGAATCAGTATTATATTGATCTAAGAGCTTAGTAGCACCAAAGTCGGATGTCATATTGACGGTGTATGCATCAATAATATAAGCTATGCAGACGACATGTCCTTGCTAAGCCCATCAATCAGTGCATTTAAGAGACTGATAAGGATATGTGAGTCTTACGCCGTGGCCCGCGGGCTCAAGTACAACACACAGAAAAGTGAAATAATGATTTTCAAATCAGGCAGCAAGTGCTACTTACTACCAAATGTCACACTTTGTGGTAATTGTCTGAATAGAGTTGAGAAATTTGAGTACTTGGGCCACTGGGTCACCGAAAACCTAAGTGATAATACTGATGTAGAGCGGGAGCGCAGGTCGTTGGCTGTCCGATGTATTGTGTTGGCTCGCAGGTTTGCACGCTGCACAAAACAGGTTAAGATTACGCTTTTCAAAGCATATTGTCAGTCCTTCTATACATGCAGCCTGTGGGTTAACTATACACGGAGAGCATACAATGTTCTGCGCGTCCAATACAATAATGCGCTGAGAATTATAATGGGGTTCCTTCGGTATTGTAGCGCCTATGGCATGTTTGCAGAGGCTCATGTTGATGGGTTTGAAGCCATAATGCGCTAAAGATATGCCTCCATGCTGAATCGCATGCGGACAAGCACCAACATCATTCTCAGTCTACTAGGGGACAGATGGGATTCACCAATGTTAGGGCGTTGGATAAATCTGCATACTGTAAATTAGACACGCCACGACCTAGAGTAGAATTTCTTTTAAAATTAATTTTATATAATGTGTATATTTATTAATTTTAATTTTCTTTAATGATGTAAGTATTTAAATCATAATTTTAATATAATAAAAAATATAGATAATTGGTCTGAAATAAATGAAATATTATATAATTATTATTATATTAAAATTTACTATCGGTGAAACTAGTTAGTCCTTCGATTCATGCACAATTGCCAATAAGAATATTACTCACATGAATTATCTGGAAACCTAATACGAGCTTCATTAAAAAACTTAAAAACTTCATCTAAATAAATAGGATTTGTGAAGCTAGTACAGCAGTTGTAAACTGTCAGATTTCTTGATCTGAAAATATTATAGTATGGATAATTTATTTACATAACAATCAAATAAATACTATATTTATTACCATAATCAATAAATTAAAACTAAAAACTTAAGCTATCATATAGTCTTCCTACCCGCGGTATAGCGTCAAGAACTGCAATGCTTGCTGCGTTTCCTCGCTGAATGACTTCTCAAACATGCTCAATTATGCTTAGCCTTTGAGCGAGAAATACAGTTTGAGTTTACCTTCCCATAACATCTCATTTGCATGTTACTAGCAATACACGCAAGTCTCAATTTTAAAGATGGATAAGTCATTTTGACAATGCAAAGGTAGCATTATCGCTGTTATGCCGCGTACAGACTGAGTCAACGTAATATGAAACGTTACATAAAATGAAAGAATTTGCCGTCCACATTAGTGCAATGTATCATATTTTCCTAGTGCAATGTAACACACTATATAACACATTTTCCTACTTTGAATGCCTTGCGCGCGTGAACTGTGCATTTCATGCGCACTTTACAAGTATTTCAAGTAACGCGCGGAGCTATCCGCGATTTGTCAGTTTTTCGACCGAACACAAAGGGGCGCGCAATGTGCTAGAGTGCCAGTGTGTACAGGTTTTGTTGAGACGCGCGCAAACACGAACTGAACACATGCTGAAATCTCATGTCTGTCATTCTGCACCAGCTCTATGTTTGTATAGCTCTGTTCGCCACCAACGTCGAGGTCTTTGGCGTTTTTTTTTAAATGACAATCATCAGTATCAGCAATTGGTCATCACACTCCATTCTATTCACATGTTCTCAGCAGACTGACGCTATGTTCGCACGCACTCCGGAAACAGATGAGAGTAAGTACATGTTCGGTTCGTGCACGCTCTGCTTTGATGAAATTCTCCTTTCACGTTACCGATGACGTATATTTAGCAATATTTAATATTCTTATAAGTTTTTGAATTGAAAACTTCTTTACCATCGTTGTAATTTGAAACTGGATGAAACGAAAAAGCGACATTAAAAAGAGGCAAACCTATACACTATATGAGCTAGGACTTATCCTACGAGAGAATGTGATAGAATCTATACTTAATACTTAATAATATAATAAGGCGGAACAGTTTTTTTTGTTTTGTTTGTTTAAACAGGTTAGTCTCTAGAACTAAAAGTCCGATTTGTAAAAACTATTTTTTTTTATGATAGCCAGTTTCACGACAAGTATGCCATCAATATTAGGCTACACTTAGCAGCTAGTCTTAAATTTTGAATTTTGTTAAGCAAATCGGAAGAAAAAGCGCTCCTGAACTGCTTTGCCCTTGGACGCATAGTTTAAGAGATAATTAAAAAATTAAAATAATTTAACATTCAGCTCGACGCGTGAACGACTACTTACCGTCCGATAAGCATGTCGATCGAAATCGATTATTTAGAGTAATTTTTTTGGAACACTACATCGATTCGATGAGTCGATCCAAAAACTTCTTAAATCAGAATAATTTAAGAACTATCGATAAAGTTCCTAGAGTAGCTGCGGTATCTTAGGTTTTTTTTTTAATTTTTGCTGTTTGTATATAAAATAAAATAATATAGGAAAACGTTTTCGTCTCCTTCCACTTCAATCCCCCCTAAACTGCCGCAAACGTAAGTTATTTGGTTGATAATTTGAACGCATTAAATAAATATTTGAACATATTCAAAGATGTCGTTACTTACGTTTTTTTAAAGATTAAGGGTCACCATTAATCTATAAAAAAAAGTAAGTAAGCACACAGTCCACGTGACAGTAAGTGGATGCTGTGGCTCATAGATATCTATCTACATTTATCCTCGGTTAAGAATCAAAATGTAGATGCATTGTCACCCCTAAGGACTAAGATTTAATGCCTCGTTTCCGGTAAAAAGGTTCTTCGTTTCTCTACACTCACTATCATGTGGGAGCGTGGCAAACGAGCATACGGTTCACCTGATGGTACGTGATTACAGCTGCCCATGAACAACTGCAACACCAGGGGAATTTCAGATGCGTTGTCGGTCTTTTAAAAAGGATAACGCTTTTTTCTTGAAGTTCCCTAAGTCGTATCGGTCCGGAACAATCTCTGGTAGTAGTCGATTCCACAAGGAAGTTGGGCGAGGAAGAAAACTTCTTCTAAATCGCACAGTGGCGGACCGCAAGTCATCCAGATGGTATGGATGGTATCGCGAGTGTCGTCGCGATGGGCGATGGTGAAATTGTGCGGCTGGAATTAGTCCGAAAAATTCCTCAGAGCACTCCCCGTGGTAAATGCGATAAAATACGCAAAGAGATGCAACATTTCTTCGCAGTGCCAGTGAGTCAAGCCGATTGGAATTGAATTGAACGATTCTTACAGCTCTCAAGTCATGTCACGTCGAACACGTGAGATCGCCGTGCCAATGCGTATATAATAATAGGTATAAAATAAGTTTATAAACACTACAAAATCCGTAAAAAATACTCTTATTAAAATATATAGTGTTTGCCTCGACGACCCATTACATTTTTAATTGAGGATAGATGTGGGTATCTTACATTTCTTTTAATTCTATATAAAAAATATTCTCCAAATATACATCGACTTAGCCTGAATTCTCGAAAACTAATTAGAATTAAAAGATTAAATTAATGCATTGGGATCACCCAACGGAAAAGTGCTTTAAAAGCTTTTGGTAAGACAGTTTAGTTGATTTATTGCTTTAGTCATTTGGAATCATGTTAACACACACTAGATCGATTGCTATAACAGTAAGTATAATTAAATCACGTTTTTCTTTACATACCTAAAAGTCACTCAATCTGTGGACAAAGACGTTAGAAATTAAAAGTTATGGAAGGGACTACCTCCTAATACACAGGATTCCTAGTTCAGGAGCTAAGGATCAATCGGGTTGTGTGTATCATGTTATTCATGTAGTCTAATAAATGGTATTATTATTTTATTTGACAAGACTATCGATATGGTGTCAGCTACATATGTTACAACTATGTACAGTTAGTTAAATTGGGATTATTTATTATACATACCTTTTGCACTTTGTGGCAGCAACTAAAGTTAAGTTAACTACATAGTCTACAGGTACAAAATCGACCACGTTAGATTTTTTGCCACGTATTATATGATTTAAGCCTGTAGCACCGGCAAGTAGGAGATTAGAAGGTACAGACAAGTTATCTAGCCATCCTTTCAATGGTTCGTCTTTAGAAGGACCCACTGAAATGAATATTTTATAAATCATACGCAGTTTTAACCGAGACAGTTAGTGGTATGCCTTTACGATACAGGAGATAATACTTGCGTGGAAGTAGAGTATTTAAAAAAAAAAGAGACGTAAAGAAAGACTCACTTAATTTCTACTTACTACTTTCTACTTAAGGCGACACATGATATAAGAGATCATCGTAAAATTAAACGTGACTTAATGCAAAATCGTTTAACAAACAATTCAGTCTTTTTCATGGTATATTTTTTTATAGAAGAGTGGTAGGTAAGTTGATGCTGTGGTAGCCCATTAATACCTAGACTTATCTTCGATTGAAAATCAAAACACAGACATTCACCATACGAAACGCAGCAGCAATATAGCTGCTATTTTACGCTGTTATTCTACACTACTTGCCGTGTAGTGGCGGTTAATTGCCGTGTAGTGGCGGTTAAGAATATCAACTACCCCATATCTTCCCATGGGTGTCGTAAGAGACGACAGTGGGAAACTGGCAGGAGATGGGCAGCAGCACCTTTCAACAGCAAAATAACAATAAAACAACTGCGGTTTCCAACCCGCTCGCCAAGCGTGGCAGCTATGGCAAATACCCCCCATGATGAGAGTAACAAAGAGACGGTCCCTAGTCCCCGGCAGCCCCGCTATTCCTGGCTACGGTGGCGACCATGGTAACGACGGGGTAGGGGGTGCTAAGAATCTCCGCTGGAGGTTCGGTTTCCACCTAAGACGACTCGACTTGGCAACATACAACGCACGCATCCTGAGGAATGTTGAGAAAATCGTAGAGCTGGAAGAAGAGAGAGACAATTTACGTACAAGTTACATATTATAGGTTTATCCGAGGTCCGAAGAGAGGAGGAGGACACGGTAACCCTCGAAACTGGCAACTTGCTCTATCACCGGGAGGGCGACCATCTGTCCCAAGGAGGTTTCGGATATATCGTCCACAAGTCTCTCGTTAACAACGTTGTAAAGAAAGAGGGTTATATACCTTATACTCAGAATCACCAAACGGTATTCGCTGAAGGTCATACAGGTTTACGCACCAACCTCGGCACACCCGATGAGGAGGTGGAGGAAATGTATGAGGATATCTCTAGAGCCATGCATTCCTCCAAAACCAAACGGTGTTGATGGGTGACTTCAATGCCAAACTAGGCACAAGAAAGAACGGTGAGCTGAAGGTAAGGAAATTTGGAATAGGGCAACGGAACTCAAGGGGCCAGCAGCTGGCCGACTTCATGGAGAAAGAGGGACTCTTTATGATGAACTCTTTCTTCCAGAAGCAGCTCCACAGGAAGTGGACCTGGTCGAGCCAGGTCGAGGTCGACAAAAAATGAGTTTACTTCATTATGACGACCAGACGACAACTGTTCAGTGATATCTCCGTGATTGCGAGGGTGAAAACTGGTAGCGATCACCGAATGGTTAGAGGCACATTGAACCAAAACGTTAAGTTGGAGCGGTCTCGCCTATTAAAGTCAACGCTCCGTCCCCCTCGTGCTCTATTCCAGAGTCCCGAAACCTTTCTGCTCGAGTTACATAACTGTTTTCAGTGCCTAGAAGACTGCACTTAAGTGGAAGATATGAATAATAAGCTCGTGGAAACTGTCCATGCAGTCAGTGCTAAGTTCTGCAAGACCCGCCGCAGAAGAACACAAAAACTTTCGGATCACATGGCTGTTAGACGGGTGACGAAGCTACATTCTTCAACAGATTTGACAGCATACAGTCAACTAAAAAGACAGATCTCCAAATGTATGCGGCGGGATATACGCAACTTCAGTACAGCTTGTACAAGAAGCGATCGAGCGGAACCAAGGCTCCAAAGTCTTTGTCAGAGATCTGTCTGCCAGAAAGAGCCAACTGTCAGCTGAACACCGAGTGTGGCAGCATCGTTTCCGGGACACCTGAGATTTTGAGTGAGATTGAGAGGTTCTATGGGCAGCTGTACACGTCATCGTTGGAGCCACACGCAAGTGTGGGTAAAGATCTAAGAGCGAGTCTTATACGACACTATTCCGAAGATATCCCGGACGTCAGTCTGAGCGAGATTAGAATGCACCTCCAGCACCTTAAAAACGGAAAGTCCCTGGAAGAGGATGGGGTTACAGCGGAGCTTTTGAAAGCGGGTGGAAAACCGTTACTTGATGTCCTTCAGAAGCTCTTTAATTCCGTCCTCCATAGTGGTACTACTCGGAAGGCGTTGAGCAGAAGTGCGGTGGTCTTGTTCTTCAAGAAAGTCGACAACGTTCGCTTGAAGAACTACAGACCGATTTCCCTTCTGAGTCGCGTCTACATGCTGTTTTAGAGAGTCATTATGAATCGTCTCGCGCGCAGACTTGACGACTTCCAGCCTCCCGAACAATCCGGTTTCCGAAAAGGCTTTAGTACCATAGACCGCATACACACCCTTCGGCAAATTACACAGAAGACAGAAGAGTATAATCTGCCACTTTGCCTTGCGTATGTGGATTATGACAAAGCCTTTGATTCCGTAGAAATTTGGGCGGTGCTGCAGTCCCTTTAGCGGTGTCAAGTTGACTGTCGGTATATCGAAGTGTTGAACTGCTTGTACAGTAGAGCTACGATGGCTATCCGAGTACAGAATCAGAGTATAAATCTATCCAACTGCAGAGAGGTGTAAGACAGGCTGACGTTATATCCGAAACTCTTCACCGCTGCATTGGAAGACATTTTTAAGCTGTTGGACTGGAAAGGATGCGGTATTAACATCAATGGCGAGTACATCACCCACCTTCGATTTGCCGACGATATAGTTCTTATAGCAGAAATGCTGGAAGACCTAAGCATTATGCTTAATGACCTTAATAGTGTCTCCCAACGGATAGGTCTTAAGATTAATATGGACAAAACAAAAATCATGTTTAACGTCCATGTCACACCTTTGCCGGTAGTTGTTGGGAGCACCAAGCTCGTAGTTGTTGACAAGTATGTTTACCTGGGACAATTAGTCCGACTAGGTAAGTCCAACTTCGACAGAGAGGTCAATCGACGGATTTAACACGGCTGGGAAGCCTTCGGGATACTACGACACATCTTCTCGTTAGACATACCTCAAAACCTGAAAACGAAATTGTACAACCAGTGCGTGTTGCCAGTGATGACTTACGGATCTGAGACGTGGTCCTTCACTGCTGGCCGTATGAGGAAGCTCAAGGTCGCTCAGCGAGCTATGTAGAGGGCTATGCACGGGGTTTCTCTGCGTGACAAACTTAGAAATGAGGATATCCGCAGTAGAACCAGAGTAATCGACATAGCCCAACGGATTAGTAAGCTAAAGTGGCAGTGGGCCGGCCATATAGCTCGAAGAATACACAACCGAAGGGGAAGAAAGGTTCTTGAGTTTCAGCCTCATACTGGTGGCGACACCCCACGAGATGGAGTAACGAGCTGGTAAGACATCCAGGAGGTCGATGGATGCAGGTGGCTCAGGACCGTGCTTTGTGGCATTCCTTGGGGGAGGCCTATGTTCAGCAGTGGACTTATGAAAGGCTGTAATTATGATGATGATGATGAATAACTGAATTACATATTTTATTTATGAAGAATTAGGAAGATATCCATGTTTTAAAATGTTGTGGCAATAAAAATCTAAATATTAACTCTATCTAAAGACAACTACAAAACAAAATAATTGAACCTTCTCATAGCTCCCGATAGACTGGCCGGCTTAACGGTTAATCTGTCCACAAATAGCTGATGGCTAATGGCCTCTTACGAGGTTATTAAAACGAAAAAACAACCAATGGTAAGAGTAAATAACGATAAGTTATAGTCTCATTGCAATCATAAAATTCAGTGGAGACTTTTAATATTAGATAATGATTTAAATATACATTGCTAAAGTTTTAAAGTTTAAGACAGGAATTTCGATATCTTTTAGAATACTCACCCATTGATGGCCTTATAATGACAGCGGGAACGTTGTGATGTGTTTCAGCAATAAGGTTTTCTGTCAAAGCTTTAGTAAATGTATACGTGTTTGGTCTCCCATCTGTAATTTTTTTCTATGTTACTATCCTGTATAATATATGTTTTCATCTAGCTTCATAGCCAGAGCAGATATAAAATAACTCTGAAACTTATATACAGAGACCTCTAAGTATTTCGGTGGCTTCAAAATTTCAAGATTTTTGTTTTAATTTCTTAGACTGCAACTAGTTTTGACGGTCAGTCCTTATTGCGATTTTATCTGATATTAAGAATTTACTAACTTTTGTAAATAAATGCCGTATAATCATTACTTGTATTATCATAAATTACAAATCATTCAAAATTCTGTCGAGAACATAATCTATAGCTGTTAATGTAATTATTAGAGAATAAAACAACGCAATGACATACTGAGGATTTTTATGCTCTGGTTTTCATCATCTCCATGCTTTTTCAAGCGTTTGTAGACATCGCTGATGTTCGCTGGTGCTGGATATACTACTTCGTCTATGATGCTTTTATCTGTGTTCGTATAAGCCGTTGAAATATGCACAAATGCCTGAAATAATATATTCTCATCATTTCTATCTCTAACTTCTGATTTATTATTTAGTTTTGTAAAAATTATAAAGTAAATTTTATATTTCCTACAATGAACTTCTTATACGTTTACTATTATTAATCGTCATTGCCAGTCAACATAAACTACTAAGTATGGTAAGGTGTTCAGGAATATAACAATGGGTATGCATTTGTTAATAGAATTATAGGTTATTTTTTTTTTTATAGAATAGGGGGCAAACGAGCATGCGGCTCACCTGATGTTAAGTGACTACCGCCGCCCATGAACAACCGCAACACCAGGGGAATTGCAGATGCGTTGCCGGCCTTTTAGAAAGGTGTAAGCTCTTTTCTTGAAGGTTCCTAAGTCGTATCGGTTCGGAAAATTCGCTGGTGGTAATTGATTCCACAAAGAAGTTGTGCGAGGGAGAAAACTTCTTCTAAATCGCACAGTGGTGGACCGCCAATCATCCAGATGGTATGGATGGTAACGCGAGTTTTGTCGCGACGTGCGATGGTGAAATTGAGCGGCTGGAATTAGTCCGAACAATTCCTCAGAGCACTCCCCGTGATAGATGCGATAAAATACGCAAAGAGATGCAACATCTCTACGCAGTGCCAGTGTATCGAGCCGATCGGAAAGAACTCGGTCGTCGACGATTCGAATCGCTCTGCGCTGGATGCGGTCAAGTGGAAGGAGCTGGCACTGGGGTGCCCCGGCCCAGAGATGAGAACAGTATTCCATGTGGGGCCGAACTTGCGCTTTGTAAAGTTGCAAGCGATGTGCCGGCATGAAATACTGTCTCGCTCTGCTGAGCACGCCAAGCTTTTTAGAGGCCAATTTGGCCTTCCCTTCCAAGTGACCACGAAACTGCACGCTATTCGATATGTCGACGCCAAGGATTCCGATACTGGCTGAGGCAGCAAGGGGAGTGCCTTGAAACTGAGGAGATACGACAAAGGGGTTCTTTTTAGCGGTAAACGCGCAAACTTGTGTCTTCTGGGGATTGAATTGGACTAGATTTAGTCGGCCCCAATCCGAGACTTTGTTAAGCAAAGACTCGACTTCAGACACAAGTTTGTCCCGGTACTCGGCGACGTTTTCCCGAGAAATATTGGCACGGCCGGTGTATAGAGCATCATCAGTGCTATCATCCGCATAGCAATGAATGTTTCCAGTTAGCAACATATCATTGATATGCAGAATAAACAGCGTTGGTGATAGCACACAGCCTTGTGGAACACCAGCGTTAATAGGCTTGTAGTCGGAGCATGCACCGTCTACAACGACCTTAATGCTCCGATCAGCAAGGAAACTGGTGATCCATTTGCACAATTTCTCGGGAAGCCCATAGGAAGGAAGCTTCGAAAGAAGCGCCTTGTGCCAGACCCGATCGAAGGCCTTCGCTATGTCCAAACTAACGGCCAATGCCTCCCCCTTGGACTCTACTGCCTCCGCCCATCTATGAGTTAAGTAAACTAAAAGATCACCTGCTGATCGACCCCGACGAAAACCGTACTGACGGTCACTGATCAGCTGGTGATCCTCAAGGTACCTCATGAGCTGGCAGTTTATAATGGATTCCATTATTTTGGAGAACAAGGAGGTGATGGCGATAGGCCTGTAGTTGGACGGGTCTGAGCGGTCGCCTTTTTTAGGGATCGGGTGGACCAAAGCTGTCTTCCATGAATTCGGGACTACGCCTTGGGAGTAGGAGTACCGGAAAAGACGCGTTAAAACCGGTGCCAACTCCGGAGCACACGTCTTCAGCACAATGGGAGGGACTCTATCGGGCCCACTCGACTTGCTGACGTCCAGGGAGAAGAGTGCTTTGCGAACCGAGCGCTGTGTAAATCGCACATCCGGCATGGAGCACTCACATCGCGGGATGGTCGGCGGTGTGTTCCCCCCGTATTCTAGAGTCGAGTTGGACGCAAAAAGAGAGCACAACAGATCGGCTTTCTCTTTTGCGGCATGGGCCAGTGAGTCGTCCTCTCTGTGCAGAGATGGATGGCTGACAGAAGTTCCCTTGGACAGCCTTGGCGAGAGACCAGAATGCACGGGTTCCCGAAGGAAGGCGAACTAGCTTCTCGCCAATTCTGCTGATGTGCTCAGACCTTGCCTTGGCAATGACGCTTTTGAAGGACCTGGAGGCGGAATTATACTTCTTTTTAAGTGCGCTGGTGTTTAAATCCCGAGACGTTGATGCGTCAGCCCAGGCCCGGTAGCACTCCTGCTTATAGCGTGATGCTATTTTACAGGAGCGACCAAACCATGGCTGGGATCTGCCTCCGATGGGCACCACAGAGAATGGAATAAAAAGTTCCATACCCTGAAGTACCACATCAGCAACAGAATCGGCAACAACGCTGGGATCTTCCGGCGAGAAGCAAACCCGCCCCCAAGGGTAGGATGCAAAAAAAGACCGCATCCCGTCCCAATCAGCTGACCTATAGTGCCAAACACGGCGGCAAGCTGTAGATCGCAACTGCGATTGGAGCGTGAGTGGTACTATGCTCCGGATCAGACAATGGTCCGAAGAGCCCAGAGGGGCATCGACGGAGACCTGATATCCGTCCGGATGAGAGGTCAGCAGAAGGTCCAACAGGGAAGGTACATGGTCTTCCACATCTGGGATCCGCGTAGGCGAAGTAACCAGTTGTGTTAGACCATATGCCAAAGCAAAGTCGTAGACAGATCTACCCGCATGATCGGTTGAACGAGAACCAAGCCATTCAGCGTGGTGGGCGTTGAAATCACCGAGTATCACGATCTCTGCGGATGGGACCTGTTGTAGCACGGAGTCTGCAGCCATTTGGACGTGGTCGATGAGTCGGTCTGTGTCGGCATTACCGCTATGGGACCTATAGAGGCACCCGTAGACGCGGGGATGGTCCTCGCTGTCTACGCGCAGCCATAGGATGGACAGGTCCGTACCTTCAAGGCTGCCGAGGCGTCGAAAACAGATGTCCTCTCTGACGTATACACAAACTCCAGCCCGGGGCACAAAGGAGTGTTCCAATTTGTATCCCGGGTAGGAGAGATATGAAGTATCAGCCGGAGAGGACACCTGAGTCTCGGTTAAAAAGAGCAAGGCCGGCTTCGCCGTCTCTAGATGGTAATGGACAGCGTTAAGGTTGGAATGAAGTCCCCTGATGTTGCAAAAATTCACGGATAGCGTGACAGGGGTCGCCTTGGTTGTATTGCTCCGCTTGCCCCGAGCAGCATTAGTCACGAGCGGAATTTTGCCCCCCCCCAGAATACGCGGGGCAGCCTGAGCACCCACGCTCAGGAGTGAAGTAGTTTGTTCGTGGATGCTCAGCGAGGGATTCTCCAGGGGTGCTGGTACTCTCCTGGGGTAGTCTTGTATTTAATTCCACTACCATGTTGATGGGGGGGGGGGGAATTGGGCCTCCGGCCACCTGCACTCACCAAACGCAACGCAGAGGTAAACCTCTACTTCCCGCTGGTATTCTGTGAGGTCGTGGTACCACCCCGGTTCGAGCTGGCCCATCCGTGCGACAGCAAAAGCTACCGCTTGGCTCTACCACTGTTAGGTTATCCTACATTGTGATATTCACATTGCAACATAATAAGCTCATCATGATTTTTTTTTCTTTAATGAATCCCATCGAATCAATTTATCTGCAAATTGGTTGGATTATCACATAAGAGTTTTGGTACTAATGTATTGAAAGAATCTGATGGTACTTATCAAATTACCTTGTAAGAATCAATTGCTATGAAATTTATATAGACTAAAAATCGGTCAGTATAATTCCAGTTCTTTCTCTTAGAGGCTCGATCTACATCGTCAAGTGTATGCCGACTCAAAGTTATCAACTGAAAGTTCCAGTCTGATGTACAGTCTTTAAGAATGACCCTCGGGAAGGGGCTCTCGTAAATCAACTTTACTTACGAAAAAAGTCTTGAACTTTTATTATTATCACATGTATTACTTTATACTGAGTTTTGGCATAATAATTATAAGACAACTATAAGAAAAACTATCCTTACAAGGAAACTGTGTGTATAGATTATATAAGAATAATAAGACAAACACCTGAATATTTTTAATTCTTTTACATAGACTTAAAACATTTTTAGTGCCTTCATAGTTAGTTTCTAACGCCTCCTTTAGTGAATTGTCGAATGAAATTGATGCCGCTGAATGAATAACAACGGATACCTGAAAGAAGAACCATGCATCTTAATGAGACTTAATTTAATGGCATATGAAGTTACAGTTTTTGGGAAGTGATATAATTTACGCTCATAATCTCTCTTATATGTGTATTTCATGAAAATTTCGTGCAGATTTCATTTGAAAAAAGGACGCTGTTTTTAACCAACTTCAAAAAATGCAAAGATTACTGCTATCGTTTATCTATTCATTGTTTACGCAACCACACAACTTTCAGGACTTTGGAACAGAGCACAAAGGGGACGGAGCGTTGACTTCATTAGACGAGACCTCTCCAACTTAACGTTTAGGTTCAGTGTGCCTCTAACCATTCGGTGATCGCTACCAGTTTTCACCCTCGCGATCACGGAGACATCACTGAACAGTTGTCGTCTGGTCGTATTAATGAATTCAATCTCATTTTTTGTCGAACCGTAATATACTCCAATAGTACCGAAAATATTCCAATAGTATTAAAATTACGGGAATATAAATGAAATGCAATTAACTAAATAAATAAATAAATATTATTTATTTATTTAGTTAATTGCTTAATTTAGTTAATTTTAGTAATTAAATTTATTAAAGCTCATCACTAGAAAACTATCCTAGCTATTTGTAACACTAGTTAAATTATAGTTACTAAGCACTAGTTAGTTTAGTTATATCACATTACAAATTGGTTATATTTAATTATAACGAGAGACGTTAGTCACATTTAATTGTCTTTGGTAGCCTAAAAATAGCGTGGCACAGCTATGCTGCAGCTTATAAGCACTATATTATGGTTTTAATTATTAAATAATTAGTTATTTTATTGATAAATGTGGGTGTCTATGGGCCACAGTGTCCGCTTACCATCAGGTGGACTGTGCTAATTTGTAACCCTTATTCTATATAAATAAGAGCCAAGGCTATATATATTGATTCATTGATATTTAGATAAAACTGGCGCCATTCTCAATGCGTGCGTCCAGCGAGACCTACAGTCTCATAGTGAACGGCAGGCATGTATGTAGAGACAGTTCAGATCTTGCCCCGATCGCTGTACACCCTAGATTGCCCCTGCGGCAGGCATGTGAGTAGAGACGCGGCTTTATATTATCACGAACCACCGGCCGTGTTGCTCTATGATTTTAGGCTTAAGATACTGTCATCATCAATATAACTGTGCATTGGGTTAAGCTGTCGTCAGAATCCCCCATAAATTTCGCAATGTGATGCATATCGTGAAGAGTTTAACTAGCCAAGATACGTTAGTTACGTAAAAATGTATACTACATGAAGCAGTATGAGTACGCCCGTACGTAGTTGAAAACTGAAATATATCAAAACTTTGAGAATTTGCATAGAAGAACATGAATCACATTTGAACTATTAGATAAATTTATTTAAAATATTGAGGATACATATTTTTAATGCTATTTAAATTACTACAATGAGAGAGGCCCATGTCTTCCATGACAGGCTAGCGATAGTGGTCTAAATTTTACATGTAGCTGTAAACTCCAATAAATAAAATATAATATACCTTTTCAATCAATATATCTTGATTTTTTTTAGTTATGCCTAAGTTTAGTGACTTAACGTCACCTACAATGGATATCACTTTTTGTAAAGCTTTTGGCTTTTCCATTTTCAATCTTGAAAATATCTGCAATAATAGTAAATTATCTCATTTAAAAAAATATTAAATTAAATTTTTTAAAATATCAGACGGTCCCGTTAGCTTAATGGTTGTAAGCGCGAATGCTGATTATGTCGTCTCTACATTTATTCAAAGGCTGGATACCAATTATCCGTCTCCCAACTGATGAGATTGAAAGGCCTATATCTGACTGACTACGGAATAAACTTAAGATAAGCGTAAAAATTATGTGTCTAACATAGTTTGAAGAGTAAATCCCACCCTTTCTCAATTGCGTACTTGCTGAAAATATGGCACCGTTTGGGCCAAAATCAAAATCAGCCCTTGGAGGGTGCTTTGCTTATTTTTGATAACATGGGGGACGGGTGTCTAAATATAGTGATTACGCCGGCAATATTTTTTATATTCTCTTACTAAAGCACAGAATGGCTCTTCTTAGTTGGGAACTATCTATTTTGATATTGCGTCATGACCATTTTTGGTCTCACTTGGACGATCGTGGCTTTATAATTAATGAAAATTTAGAAATATCCAAGTTTGAGTTTGCCATAAATATATAAGCAGAGCACAATGAAAATTGATGATCATCAGGTTTTTGAAGAATATTGTTTCGCACCACTATTAGTGTCTTGTACATGACCTCTAGTTACCACTAGCGCCCTCTAGTGTCGAGTAGCAGAACTAGGAGAGTCAAAATCCTTCTAGAAATTTCGGGTCCGATATGTACTCGAACATTCTAGATGTTTCTACAGTAGAAGGTTCTGGAAACTATGTGAGGCCCTATATAAGGCCGGTATAGACCACGACTGTGTCAGTATTGAATTGGCGATACAAGCGAATACTTCGAAGCAAAATAACTGCGAATTAAAGTGATCAGTAGTACAATTGTGTTTTATTATTAGTGTGGTTTTAAATTGTAATTAGTGTTCTGTAATTAAAGTGTCAATTTTGGTAATTCAATCGGCAGTTTTTAATTGTCTCGAGCCTCTTGTAACTTGTAACAATATGTTGGATCCAATGAACCATATATTCCTGATTTACCAAACATTAAATGGTATTCTGAACATGCGCGTGAAAGATTTTTTTATTTTTCAGACATGCAGATTTCCTCACGATATTTTCCTTCACCGCCGAGTAAGTGGTAAATCAGCACTTAAAATTGCAGTTAACAATTTCATTGGTACCGGCGGCATTGGTATTACACGTTATAATTACTTTAGGAAATTATTATATTAAATTAAGCGATGTTGGATTTAAATGAAATATACTATAATATTTACGTCAACCAATTATGGTGTAAATAAAGTAGGCTCATTTAGAACCTTAAGAATAACATAATTCTCACTTGTTTTTAAACTTTTACAAAGTAATTTTATTTTGCCTCACCTCTTGGACACCGAACCTCACCCTGAATTTCATAACCTTACCGATGAGCTGACACTGCTGAGGCTGCACCCCAACCCTGTCTGCAAGAAAGAGGTTCTTTCCCAGTCGTACCAACTTTTGTGAAAGATGTTTATGTTCCATGGGAAGAAGTGGAAAAGTCCATATTATTATACTTACGGGGCTATCAAATATCCGTCGTAACTTTTGAGTAGCGTTATGTTGTTCTGTTTCACGAATGAGTACGTAAATGTTGTCGATATTTGTACAACTATATAGTATTTTTTCTATGAAAGCCTGAAAAATATTTAAAAGTATATCAGTAATGTTATTAACTAAAATTAACGTACAATTTAAATCAATTAATAAAATATTAATTTATTTTTATTTTTATTATAAAAAATTCTTCTAATGCTACCCATGTAATTTCACTAATTTAATAACTGTTAATAAAAGGGTACAATTTGCATGAAAAAATTGGTTTATTTTTTAATTTTTGCAACTTTACATTGAGATTATCTTAAATATGTAGAATAAAACTTTGTCTCATCTGTGCAAGACATTGAAATAATATTGGTAAGTATATACCTTTCGGTAGAGAGTAAATAGGGTTCTGTAATACGTACATAATTACCAAAGATAGAATAATAGTGCAGGAGTGTGTACGCAAGCACAAATTTACTGTCTATTCCCTCACATTCATAGACCGATGTCCAATGTCCGATAGTCATAACAACCTCGTTTACAAACACTAGACAGACGAGGTAGTCAAGAAGAAGGTATTCCTTCAGGTGCACTAGGTATTACAGCATATGATCTATGAAATTGTATCATACCAGATCTTCGCGGCATTTAAAAATACAAATATATCATCACTTATGTTGGCAACCAACATCGGCCGCCCCTCTTCGTGCACAACGGAAGAGAAGTGGAAAGGGAAATGTGAAGTGGAAAGGGAAATGTATAAATTAGGGTGCATCATGATTCTTGGGGATTCTGTTTTGAGAACACGCGTCGAATTAGTCAAAGTGTAATTAAGTATCGTGATTACAAAAACTGTAATATTGAGTGTTCTGTATAAATATTAATTGAATACATATATTGTGTTATAAGTGCATATTTCTTTATAATAAATTATTTCATTGTGTTAACATCAGAAGTGGGATACAATCCCTGTTATCGTCCACATAAATAATCTTCGAATAGTGTGATAGTTATTAACTTTGTGAAAGACTTCGCGTTGATGTCTTTGTTTTTATTAAATGTCATAGATGAAATTTGCTGTACTATTTACGGCATTGACATACAATTAAAGTGTAGAGTAAAAGTTTAAAGTGAAATGTTTTAAGCCAAAAGATAAATCTTTTTGTTCAATTAACATTCAATTGATAATAAGGTACCCGCAAGTTCGCAATTATCCCTTTACGTAAAAATGTCAAAAGAAATGTTGGAGGTATTTTAAGATGAGTTATAGTTTAGCATTCAGTGGAAATTTAACATGCTCGAGTTATAATTTGATATGTGGTGTAATTTACATGGACTAATTTTAAAGTTCAACATGTTTAAACGATAAACAAAAAAAAATGCTTAACTTTAACGTGCGATGAATTAAAAACACTTAGTAGTATTTTTGTATTCTAATGTGTTGACAAGTGTTACAGTTTAATCCAAGTGTTGTGTTCGACAAAATTGGGATCTAATGTTGAGGGTATAGTGGAAGGCGTGGTGCTGTGGCGCCCGCTCTTGAGTGGAAGTATGCTATGGGCTTATGACGCCACAGGCACATTATTTGCCGCTGCTAGCGATCACCATTTGATACACGAGGAAAGCAAATTTATCCTAAACACTGTCTTAAAAATATTTTGTAAGAATAAGTGCTTAACTTTTAATTAGTTGCGGAAAAACAAAGGATAACTGACGAAATCGAAGTAAATAAAAATTAGTTTACATTGAAGAGATAATTTAACGATACATGAGGATCGTACCATACCAGAGGTTATCGTGTAGCCGCCGCTCAGTATATGGTGTCCTAGAAAAGCGAATGGTGTCCCTAGAGTAGTGCTGCATTTCTTGAAATCAAGTTCCGACGGAGACTTTTTAATGTTTTCTTTTATGTGTTACAGTAGCACGTGTGATGTGATTATATGTACGCGAGTGTAAGGCGAGTGTGGGCCTTGCTGGTCGGTATGGACTACCGGGTCCAGCTGTATCATGGCCTGGTTTCGGCAGACGCGTATGCTGCACGCGCGGTGAGCGCCGTGCCGAAGCACGCGTATGCTATACATGACGGTGCCTCGCAAGTCGTATACTATGTGTGCGCGGAAGTGTTATACTCTGTATGCGCGGAAGTCGTGTTCTCTGAACATGCAGCAGGCTTTATCCGGGCAGGCGCTGTCCTGGTTCACGTTGTTAACGCGATTCACGTGGTTAACGTAGGATCTCGCAAGTTTAAGTAAGAGTATGTGTGAGATACTTCGTATGGAGATGTATGCTTAAATGTGAAAGCGAAGTGCTTTATTATGGTCCACGGTATGAGAGCGTATGTCTGTTTGAGGGCCCTCGTATGAGTGATGGATGAGAGGATAGGCAACTGTGTATCCTGCCTGCTAATTAACAAGTTGTTTTTCACGTAGATCACGATGATTGCAACGCAATAAACGCACAAAATATAAAAGGCGTAGGCGATCGCGTTCTTTGAGCTTAAAGAAATTTAATAGTCAGGACAGGCCGAAGCAAATAAGCATATTTAAAAAAAAAAACTATGAACTTTTAGGTGGTAAGGTATAAGGAAATACATCACAAAGTCTATGTTAAGTAGTACCGAAAAAGTGTATATGGCAAAATTTTTGATTGCATTTTACTGAGTGCGCAAGTCAGTACAAAATATTGGTAAAACACATAAAAAGTTAAACAAAACCGAGATAAGCATAGTTTAAATAAGCTTGTTACGTTTAAATAAAACGAAATATCTTATTAAACGCAACTGGAATGAACTTGGTACTTTTAAGTGATACTAAATGTCCTTTAAATGCAAGTGATTCCAGGAGGAAGACGAACCTGGTCTCTTAAGTGTGACAAGTTCCTTTAAGTGCAGGTGGTCTTAAAAGTGCACTCGAGTTTTGTAGAACTAAAAATGTGTAAAATGATTGTAACATCTGACTATAAACTTGCGTCATGATCAGTTTATATATATGAAAGTAGTTTCTAATCAATTTATGTCTTCGCAGTATTTTAAACGGACTCGTGGGGTTCCTGAGGCAGGAACCATGCAGGATGGCAGTGTTGGCAACCAACATCGGCCGCCCCTCTTCGTGCACAACGGAAGAGAAGTGGAAAGGGAAATGTGAAGTGGAAAGGGAAATGTATAAATTAGGGTGCATCATGATTCTTGGGGATTCTGTTTTGAGAACACGCGTCGAATTAGTCAAAGTGTAAGTAAGTATCGTGATTACAAAAACTGTAATATTGAGTGTTCTGTATAAATATTAATTGAATACATATATTGTGTTATAAGTGCATATTTCTTTATAATAAATTATTTCATTGTGTTAACACTTAGCATAACAAAAACATACGTAAAATTCTACGCGAACGAAGTTGCGGGCGCGGCTGGTATACAATAAAATACTGCAGCCAGTTGAAGGTAAATAAAAAATATACGTTTTTTATATATGTAGACATAAATAAAAAATAAAACTATATCGGTGCCTTCCTCAAAATTAATTTTATTCAAACAAGAAGTTTTTAAATGACACATTATTTTTAATTTATATTAATATTTTTGAAAATGTTTATGAGATTTCAGAACTTTTGTAATACTTAATAAGTCAAAAAGATTAATTTAAATTTATAACTTTTTAAATATATATTTGCCAATCACCACGATTGGCAAATATATATTTATCTATCACGATTGGCAGATATATATATATATATATATATATATATATATATATATATATATATATATATACAGCAAATCCTCCCTCTCTCTCTCCCTTTTATGGGAGATATCTAAGTACTAACTAAGACATCTAACTAATATCTAAGCAATAAGCTCGTCAAGCTTAGTGCTTAGATATTAGTCAGATGCTCGATCTAGTCGCTGAGCAACCACGGCTGCCATTTTTTTTAATTATTATTTATTTATTTATTTAACAAACTACAGATAATACAGAGAATATATTATGGTACAACATAAGCTTAATGAAAACTTTACCGTGTACCACAAGCCGCCGACTTAAAATTTGACAGATAAGCTACACCTTAATCTATAAAATATGTATAACCCAACACTATTAAACAGCAATTGGCACAGTCAACAGGCGGTAAATCAGCAATACGTAATTAACTAATAGTGCATTAAAAGACGTGAGTCTTGCCACCGCCCACTTCGCCGCGTTAAAAACCGGTCGTTCCTGCGTCGCGTATACAGGAGGTGATAAAAATATATTGATAATAATTGTGATAATATTTAATAGTAGATGAGATAATAATTATTATTTGTTTATATGTCAAATAGGTTTATTTATATATAGAATAAAGTTAGTGAGGATTATAGTTTTTTTTTATTTAGTTTGAAGTTTGATATAGACAGTTCGTATAATAGTTTTTTAATTTGTATTTAATATTTTTATGATTAATTTCAATTTGAAAAGAGGTAGGTAACTGATTAATCAAATTTGGAACCATGTATTCTAAAGTATGTTTTCCGTATAAATTGTTATAATTAGGTTTAGCTAATTTTGGTTTGGTCGAACTGCGGGTTTTAGAATAGTTAGAGACGACATATTTTTTTAAATCTTCGTTAAAAAATTCTTCATTTAAAAGAGTATATTCTACTTTTTTATGCACCGGTATAATTTTGCAGTAATCGAATAGGTTATGGTAATCAGAATCGCTGTGTATGTTTTTAACCTTGTCTGGAACTATAGTTTTAAAAATGCGTAATTGTAATGAATAAATGTTATCTAAATGTGATTTGTAAGTTCGTCCATAACTAGACAAGCCATATGAAATTTTAGATTCGGCCAGTGATTTATATAATTGTAACATAATTATATAGGGGACTTTATACATAATTATGGAGAATTTTGCTAACATGCTTCGAAGTCCATTACATACAACCTTAATATGATGTTTCTAGTTGAGTCGACTATCTATTACAAGTCCTAAGTAACTTTGAGTTTCTACCGGTTCTAATTCTGCACAATGACAATTGAATGTCATTTGTCCTTTGTGAAGGCATAGGTAGTCATGCACAATAATGCTAGGTTTTACTTTACTCCTATCCAAAA